ATCTGTTTACTTGGAACCGGATGGCGGCACAATTTGATGTATGATACTCTGCTTGTAGATTATTTATGCGTAGACTGGAATTGAACTTAGGGTTTGTATCTGAGAGTCACTCAAGCACTGGATAACGGTCCGGTACAATGCAAGTTTATGTACTGCAAGTAACTTTATAGAAAACACATCCACATCTAAATCAGTCTTCAGTACTGAACACGGAGTAAGCCTCTGGAATGCTCAAATCTCCTGAAACGATCCAATAATCGTTTTGATCGCTTTCTGATATTATTCGCTTGCATGCCCCGTCAACGACGGCTCTTGTCATTGCGTATTTGAAACAAGTCTTCCCACTTGAACACCAATCACGGAAACCAACAACAACAGGCTAGTAGACAGATAGCTGATGGGCAATGGGGTTGGAAACAATCATTCGATACATACATATATATATACATACACCTAGCGAGCGGCGAAACCGGTTGATTGCTTCCAGGGAAATTTTGTCCAATCATTAATATACTTCCTAATGTAAAATATATACAGTAATCTAAACTCATGGTATGCCTATTATTTTTCTGTTGTTGTTCTTCTTCTTCGTTTATCTACAAATCACTGCATTATATTTATCGTTGTTTGAGACATAGTGGTCGCTGAATATCCACCCATCGGGGTGTATAAAGCGATTATTTGTCATGACTTGAATAGAGATTTATTAAGGACAGAGGAAAGCAAGTTCAAAATTTTGAATTGGTTCTCGCTCTGAGTCACTGATTATTTGTTCTGGTCCTTCAGGTCGAGCAATTTATCAACAGTCCGGCCACGGGAGCGTAAGTGCCGGCACAAATTGCTTTTAACCACAAACCAGGGGGGGGAGGGGGTGATGACGGACGCTGTCTGCCTCCGTTGGTGCTAGATTACGAAACCGCACGTGTCCAGATCGTCCCGTGGTCAACTTCGTACCGGGGTCGGAACGTTTTCGTCCCACTCACTGGTGTGATTAGTGTCAACAAGGTACGAAGTTAACTCACTTGTGATGGACTTAATTACCCTACATGTCAGTCACACAGGGGTGGGCTTACGGATGCACTCGAACAGACGCCTAGTCATGGAGCCAATAAAGTGTATATCTGTAATCAGTCATGTATATCGTTTTGAATTGGTGTGATTACGAGACACCGAAATCAAATTTTTTTGCCTATTAGTCCTCATCATGTTCCGTGGGAAATTTTAGACAATGTAAAAATGTTTTAAATAGGACTCTTCGGTGACGATGACCAGATTCCATATGCAAAACGATTATGGGGGGAGCTATGTTCTGACAAAGGATGCTAAACAACGCATGTTACGTGATCTTCATTCTGTGGTGGAGTCCATACTCAAGAGTTAAAAGCACCCGAAGATTGGCTTGTCGTTGCAGTTGTATTTTTACACTTGATGTTACTTCCTCTTTCATGAAGATTGAGGCATGATGCGTTTGGCGCAGGTTTACGCATTTTTACATCTAAGCGATTAACTCCTGACCGAGGTTTCATTAATGTCTCTGACGATGCCTACACATGCGCGGTGTTCAGTGGCAAGGTCAACACAAAATGAGAGCTAATAAGTAGTCCAGCTTCGGGATACTTTCACGGCTTTCAAACCCAGGTGCCCTAGATGTTCTTCGACTGTGGTGATTGATTTCTTCACCGGACCGTTGAAATGACAGCGTCATACAGAATGTGATGTTGCGAAAAGCGCTCTTCTCAAGAGTTCCTTGGCGGAGAACATAGCCTAACCACTGGAACCGACAATGTTGCAGCAGTTTAAAAAGCTTTCCAGTGGATAGCAGCACCGGTAGAAATTCTCGATAGATAATCGGTCGTGCCACTTTGCTTTCAGGATGAAGCGCAAAAACCAGCGAGCAAAAACCTCGAATTATTGGACGTCTTAGTATCTTACCGGTCACGTCTCGCAACCGTAGTTCAGGGTTGGATTTTGAGTTAGATATTGGATCCATGGTAGTTAAAAGTCTGGGCAACGGGTGTCGGAGTAGTGCGTCGTTGTTAGTTCATCCCTACTATCGGCGCCTAGTTTACTGTGTACATTCAGTGTTTTCCTTTCTCTGGGTGGGCAGGTTGTTGGTCGGTGTTTATTGCATAAAGGTGTTCAGCTTCGGCCCTCAATATCCTAGCGAGTAAGTTCCAATGAGATCGAAGTCCATCGCTTCTTCTGAACCAAATACCGTTGCTCATCTATGTACGTTTGACATTGAAAGACAGTTGAAGAATGTCCAGCAGAAGCATTTGGATACTGAGGAAGAAGTAGGAGTATTTCACGTGAATAGCACGACTGGATTTATTCTCATTTACTATCCACTGTTGAGAGGTACTACTCATATTTTTGAGTAATGTGTGCACACAAGGGCATCTGCACATGGATTAAAGGATTGCGTATTGTGACGACAGAACAAACGAATAGGCTCTCAAGCTGACGACCACCGATAAAGAGACCAGGAAAATGCTTGCCAACTGTTGAAAATTAGATGTTTCGTTCTGGGTAACTGTAGTGGTTGTAGTAATGGTAGTAGTAGTAGTGGTACGAACTGAACTCGGAATACGAACCACGCAATACGGATCACGGAATAGGAATCAAGAATCAACAACCACGGACTGGATCACGTAAGCAGTGGACCACACTGGCACTAGCACGCAACATCCCACGTGACCGAGACGCAAGGAAAAGGCCATAGGAGTAGTAGTTCGTTTATTGACAGAAACAAGGGGATTACATAATATGTACAAAGTAAGTTCACTGGTTATCCGGGCTTCTACCAATCGCGCTCCAGTATTCTTGGCATCGTTCCGCTTCTGTCTGGGCCGCACGGTCTCTGATTGGCTCTTACGATCTACCTATGGTATTTAGTCAGAAGCAGTGACACGTACGCGCGTTGTTGATGTCACACGTGAAATTTGATTGATCGCAGTTGTCCAAAAACTGTAACCCGTCGTTCCAGGGTACGCACTATGTCGCAGGCCCGGATCATCACAATAACCTTATTCACTCCTCTTTTATGCTGTTCTTTAAATAAATGTCTCTCTTCAAACCGGAAACGGACCTTTGGAATTGCAACAACCACCAAAGATTATTTTAGTTCATTATAATTTCTGAATTGTATGTTATATTCGATCTACAATTCCAGTGGTAACGGCTTCACACATAACTTCTCATTTCGTTACTCATCCCAGTCGATTAGTTTCGCATTTGCATGCTTGTAGTTGGATACATGAATGAATTAAAATTAGCATGGACATCAAAGATGGGCTGCATTTGGTACACATGAGATACGCCGAATGCATGTGAAAGCTCTCTCTCTCATTGTAAACGCATAATGACTTGTACAGTAATCCAGATGATCAAACACCCAGCAGATGTGGTGTTGGAACATTTTGAAAACACGTGAATCTGTCAGCACTTCAGTTTTCAATAATGTTAGTGATGCCTTCAATTATGCAACCCGGAAAAAATGCTGTGTATATTCCAGCAGAAAGAAATATCCAATTATCAAAAAGTGCTTATCTATCAGACTATCTTACACATTGCTCACTGTTCACACGTCTTCGTTATCAAGACTACCCACGGCTATTTCCAAAAGAAGAAAGTGGTCTGAGTAACACCATTTCACTGTTTCTTTCTCTTGCACTTGATAATGAACCTGTTTCGAATTCAATTTATAAAACCTGTAACCATGCGTTGTAGTGCTACGTTCTAGTTGCTGTCTTCTGACTACACATTCGGATGAAAGAGAAGAGAAGGATGATGAGCATGCTGGAAACAGTATTAGGGTGAAGATAGAGAGTTTAGATGGACAAAGGTTACAAGCGTATTGATCGAGTAGATACACGATGACCATTGTAAACTACACGCAGTCATATTGTAGTTTCATGAAAATAGAACACAAAGCGGTCTCCCCGGTACGGGTCGAGGCTGTTATTTCCAAAGCGGTCCCCGGAAAATATCAAACTGAATCACCACTAATCGTACCTAAACAATCTAAACTCTTTTAAATCCCTTCACGTAAGGAGAGATGCATGGATAAAGCGTTACGGCGCTTCAACAAAAGTCATTCAAGCCTGGATACACCACGTTAGAAAATCGATAGATGAACTGAAAGACGGAGAAAACAACTACTCTCGGCGCCAAAATGTGAGCGGGGGGAAGGAAAGGGCTATAATAACCCGTGGCAGACTGCCAACGGAACATTATTCCGGGTCAATACACGATTCACTCGTTTTCTCCCGCCTGGTAAATGGTGAAATACTTGCATGCGGGAAACAGTTGTCATACAGCCTAAATGGAATAGTAACAGTTTGTCTGGTTCAATGAAACACGAGAGCCCGGCGGAACAGATCAGAAAGAATAACACCGGTATACTTGAATAACAGGTGAATAATTATTTTGTACAATTGTTTGAATAGCAAAAAGGGAAAGAGAATATTTTTTACCAGTATATCGACCGAGTAGTATAACGAGATAAAAATTTGGCAATACTGCAGAAAGTCTATGTTTCAGGCTGGACCCGTGTTGATGTGTGTGTGTGCTCATGAATAAGACGAACAGATAAACTTGCGAGCAGTCCGGCCCCGTGGGAAAGGATGGTAGATTTCGGGAACAGAGCAATAGAGACTATCCCGAAACGGGGATGTTTCGTCGGAAGCGCCACACTCCGGGCCAAGAAAAGGGGACGACGGATCGAGAATGAGGGAAGGAATGTCTGACGAATAATGTGCGTGTTGGGGCACCACTTTTGTTGAGGAAGAGGAGAACAAAAGCATATGGGCAAAAGTGATTGGTTGTGGAAAACAGAAGATGATCTAGTAACGGGATAGGAGTGAATGAAACAACTGTTCAGTTCGCGTGTGATCAGGTGTGATGACATGTGTTACGTCACCGATGACTACAGTCATGAGAAGCCAAACCGCTACTCGTGCGTGCATGGTGTCTACCGAACACGATTCGAGGAGCGAGTGCTACGAGCACATAATATTTGGTGATGAGCAACGGGACTGCAGACGTTTGATACGCTCGTAGATTTTCACCGCCGGACCGAGTTTGATACCCAATTCGGTCAGCACATCCATGCGTTTCATCAGTAACAGACAGGCTCCATCGATCTCTTGTTGGAAAAATGCTTCCGATTCACGATGAAATCCTTCCTCCAGTAACCAATCCCGAACATGTTCGACAGACCACGCACGAATATCTTCCGGACGAGAAACAAAGTGAGCCATATCCAATGAGGGCGGATGTAAATTACACTCGTCCGCACAGGACTCGTGACCATTACCTCGTTGAGTTATGGGATCTGTTGAGGGCGGGGAACTGGACACTTCGTGCACAGAATTGTGTGCTTCATGCTCCTCAGTTGAAGCTGTGTTGATGGTTGAATGATTTTTAGATGCGCTCGAAGATAGTGGTTCGGGAGATCTGAAAATTAAGAACATAAAGGTCCAAACGGTTAAAACACATTCAACTGACGGACAACTTACTTACAGTGCCAGGAAAAAAAATATCAGGTTGACAAAATCGTGATAGTGATGGCGATTTTAAGGGTTGGGAAAATCCAAGACTACACCGGCTTCTGTTGNTCTGTTGCGTGCATAGCCCGCATTGAAATACACAATTGTTGATTGTATTGCTACAGTTCAGTTGTGTTACTCAGATTAGACCGGACTCAGTCGATGAGCGTGAATGCCAAATGGCTTTCGACCGAACGACCAAGGTTAAACAAACGAGCAGTAATGNNATCGCTGATGATCCCTCCCATCCCCCATCCCGAGTACCCCTCTCTCACACACACACTGGCGACAAGTTCCACAATCCGAGATGTTTTGGTAGCTCCCTTTTCGTTTGCTTAACGACACGAACAACATTGCCGGTCCACTTGAACTGCGAGCTTATCAGGAATGAGCTCAAGAAACGCAGCTTGCCCTTGCCCTAGCAAAGAATAACGAACGAGTAATGTCAGGATCAAACAGTTGAGGTTGACAAGTGTCACAGTTGTCTTTACTGGGATGATGCCATCCACAGCTGAGATAGGAAGTCTGACGAGTGATGACTTCTTTTTCGGTGTTAATTTTACCGTCTTGTAGGCTTTGCGCTTGTTTAAGTCCGGAAAAATGTTTCGGTTTACCCATAAACGCACACTATATAACTCATGGAACAAAGAAGAGAAATAGGAAAAACGTTCGAAAACGTCGAAAATTCACATCCGCAAATGATCATGAATTATCCGATTAGTGTTTGAATATCCACCTCCCGACACCCAAACCTCACATTTTGCAAATACTAAAAACTTGATTTTCTCAGCTCCCTATGTTATTCCCTGAGTTCGCACCACTTTTTATTCTGATGAATCTATCGGGATTATTTACTCATTGATTATCGATTTATCTTCAAAATGCGATAGCGCTGCAGTGATGATATTACACAATCCCTATGCCACTCCGATTTGTGTGCCACGCAGTCATCCTAAATCGTGACCTCGCTATCGACGGAGGAACTGACCCAGACCGATTGACCTTATTTTATGCATAGGGAGTAATACTGGCGAACACCACTCTATGCAGTGAACCGAGGCGGAAAGGTGTCGTAAGCTCGGACTCCGCTTCGGCTATTAGTGTAAAAAGATCAAAAAATTTGAATTAACTTCTGGGACACTCGTCAAAGAAAGGCAGCGCCAGGGTGCGGGTTGACTGAGTCGAAAGCCGCTTTCAAATGGAGGAAGATAGAACATCTAGCGGACTGGCAATTGGTGAGAACGACACCCGAAGAGAAAAAACTGAATTGTTAATTCTGGTCAGCCCCGCTGGGAACGAGTTGACAGTGTTAGCACATGCGTTCCATTCGATGGATTCAGAGTTCAAAGCCCGGACGGGGAAGTGGATATGCAATGTTGAGGGTGAGAGCAGAACGTGGATCTTGTACTTCCTAAGTATATGAATGTCTGGAAACAATGGGGTTGTGAGTTAGAATAAAGTTTGACGGATGTTCAGTGAAAATAGATACTATTTATCTCACTATGACCACCGCCACTACCTATAAACCACGCCGAGATAAATGTGAAGATAATCGACTTAACCACTGGCAAAACTGCACCACCATTCTTTCCAAAGTGATTCCACCGACCTTGTGGTAGTTTCCTACCCTGGACACATCAGAACCGGTCTTTCTTAGGGTTCGAGCTAAGTTCCCGCTAATGGCTTGTGTTCGTAGGCTCAGCTGAGAAAATCCTATTAACCGAGTTCTCGTGGTTAACATTTCTGTTGATTTGTGAAATCAGACGAGAAGTTCTAATCCAGGAGATGATGTATCGTAGTTAACTCACCAAACGATGTCGGCTCCATGAACCGGTCCCAGAACTGCTGACCATAGAGTGGCTGGTTCGACGAGACAACAAGAGTATATTGGGCATCATGACAGAAGCACCATCCACAAAAGTGGAGTCGGACTGACGAGACACTGATCCCTAGCGCTTTGTTTGTTGCGCTATTCTGTGGAAGGTTTGAGATGAAGCAACTAACTTCTACCTTCTACTTGGGCGTGGAGAACTGAGTAATAAGCATAGCACAATGAGGACATAGAGATGGCAACGGGAACGAACTATAAACTTGTCGTTTGCCTAGACTTCTATCATGTACAATGGTGGTACTCCATACGAAGTTACTACTTGTGAATTATGATAATATCTTTCTACTCTTACTTTATTTACTCATATTGGAGCATAAGTTATTTCTACTCAGCTACACATGTACCACCAATCAGCATGAACAGATATACTACTATAACCAGGTATTGATTTTATCATATTTTATGCTTCTAATGTCGTTAATGTTACACGAACTATTCTGTGTGATCACGTGTCATCCCAACAATCCAGAATATCATAAATGGACCGTTTCGTGAACATCCGCATCGTGGATACATCGAATCGCGATTCCGAAATACCTGCTAACATTAACTGTCCCGCTGAAACAAATTACTCAACGTACAAGTAATGCTCAGCGATGTGATCGGTTTGGCCGATTCCATGCATTTCGGTATCGCTGAAGAGTCATTCGAACGCGAAACACTTGAGCTGCCGCGTCCGCATCAATCCGAGGAGAAAAAAAAGAAAAGAGATGACTCGTTTGGTGATTAATCGATCACACTGTCACGTGGTGATGTACTCTCGTTTGGTAAAAATACAGTTAGACAAGATTGCACGCGTAGAGGTCAGCTGAGCGCATGATCGATCTGATTCTCAGATCAAAGGTGGTCATTAGTGTGAACAACTGATCAATTCATTTGCGCCCCAACTATCAGAATTTTGAGTTGGTCTAATGATCAACAAATTCAGAAGTTATCGCATCTTAACATGCTAAAACTGGAACCGCATTGAACACATTTGTCATAACACGTTAAATACTCTGTGCTACCGACCTGAAACATTTCACTGTTCAATAAATCCAGCAAATTATTGATCTAACATCATGGTTTACGGGTAAAATTGATCGTGACTCTTATGTGTCCTCACAACCTCTCTCTCTCTCTCTTAGATGTTTCCCTCTCTCACGTGTATTTCACCTCATAAATACATTTCGGCACACTCTCGGACCCACAAGCCCGTGCTACCATCTGGATTCCACTTTTCAGTCCTCTATCCCTATCTTTGTCAAGCTCCTCGCATAATTCCTCTTCTGTTTCTTATGCTACGTGTAAAATTGGTTTTCTATTTCGTGCCAGAAGATTCTTCACTCAGTAAAGCTTAGATTCACAGCGCTCTAAAATACTGCAGCCCTGTTTGCTAGCTCGCATCTTCATCCCCAATGTGTAGTTTGTGGTGGAGAAAAAACCGTGAGTGCACGTTGTAGAACAATATAAACTGAGGAAATACACAACTCATACCTGGATGTTTCCACTCGCTGAGGAAACAATGTGGCAAATGAATAAGGTCTGAGGCTCGACCGCTATCACCACCACCACCACCCGACTTTGATGGTAGGCAGCTTCGCAATCGTCCCGTTCAACACCACGCGTATCCCAGTAAACCACTTCAGATCCCAGGTATCAGGATACCAATTATCACGAAAGAACAATAGGTCCTTATGACTATGGCGCTTCCCCCTTCTGCTTGGGTTCATCACACAAGAAAGTGTCATGGAAAAAAAAATACCGTGATCAGGATACCAAACTCACTTCGTCATGGAGCACGGCGTGGATGGCTTTACGGGACTGGGCGTGGATGTGCGCTCAGACAGCGACACTGATTCCGTCCGACCACTTGGAGCGGGCACGGGAGTTGTGTGGTTAGTCTGATTGAGTGGGGATGCGTGAACACTCGAACAGACGGACGAATCGGTTCTATCGGTTGCGGAATTCACCGGACCACCATGTGCCGGCGTATTCGGCAAGTTGTCAATCGGTTTGATGGGCGATTTGACGGACGACGTGAACGCATTAGTATCGTTTTGAGGTGAGTGATCGGTTATGGGAGTACGTGTCTGATTTGGTGTAGTACTAGTCGGGGGTTCGGTGGATGTCGACTTGAGTGGGGTTTTGGTCGATTCTGATGCTTGACCCGCCTCGGACATAGAATTCAACCCAGGATCCGATTGCATAGAATTCTCGGGATATTTCGCTTCAGCGTGAGTCAAACTCATATCCATATGGCCGGACAACGTGGGAAATGTGTTGTCCGGAGCACCTGGCAGCGTTCCTATGGCAACGGAATAGCCCTCCTTTTGACAAGCTGCACAAACCCACGGTAAGCTTCGATCGACCGGTTCCTCTAGATTCGGTACGTGACACTCGGGATGGAATCCTTTGTCACAGGCATCACAAATCAGAAGTTCACTCTGAAGATACGAACGGTGAAAAAGACGGATTGTAACTGAACTGGAAGAAAGATGTTCAAATGTTAGATTGTGATCATACCAGTGGACCTAATGAAGTTATTAATATTGACTTACTACAAACTGATCCCGTGAAACTTGGTGTCCTAAGGTAGATCATTTAGCTTAATTTGGTTGCATATCAAGCCGGTTAAACTCCAGAACAGCCAAACGGTCATTCCGACCAATTTATTTTTCCGATCTCCATAACTGTTCAGGTGAACTTTCCAATCGTTGTTTCGCGTGACTTTCTAAAATCGATATGCTTTTCTTTTCCTCAACATTGGATAGGTACCGGTTAGACTGTATTCGAGCGCACCGACGTTATAGTTACAGTTCGATTGGTTTTCTTGTTTTCGCCGGCAACAATTGAAATCGATCGATACATTTGCTATGGGCGGTGAGGGCAAACATCACTACAGCCATTGTAGACCAATAAATTCGTGATTGCTAATGCCTACGTGATTTGGGCCATAGGATCCGGGGTTCTAACCCTGCCACCGCTACTGGACCATCTTGATAGGCTGTTTAGCTATACTCGACTCAATATCACACCTATCCGGTTCAGAGCCCAGGTTACCCGTTTTCGTTATATATATATATATATATATATATATATATATATATATATATATATATAAAGACAAGAACTGATAGCGAGACTTACTTCGTATCCTTTTCCTTGACACACCGTACAAGTCTTGCAGTCCGAGCATTGCCAAGGCGATTGTCGTGCACGCTCCGTCAGTTCAGGCCAATAATCCAAACAAGTCGGATGAGCTGGTATGCAAGTTGAGCGGATTGGAAACGATTCGCGGGTAGCGAGAGTGAATGTGATTGATTGATTAAGTAATTCAGTATAGGGGTGGGATACAGAGGGAAAAACCGAGAATAAAATTTGAAATTATTGAAGATTGAATTCAATTCACGGTTGAACAATAAAACAAAACAGAATCGTATCGAGAGAAAAAACACCAAAACACTGAATATAAAAATGAAACAGGGATACAAGCCACCTACACTTTGTCGTGCCAGAGAAATTGTTCGAACAGGTGCGTTGTTCACGAATCACTAGATTCAGAGGACTATCATCACCATGACTCTTGAGCTCAATCGATTCGCCAGGATAACCAAATGTTTTAGTGGTGACGAAATCGATAGGGTTCAATGTGAGCGCAGACTTTCGATGCATCAGTTTGGCACAGTCCAGAGCGGTACGAATAGTTTGCAAGATCATGGATAATCCATGTGCTTCAAGCGGATCCGCTCGGAACCATTTGTTCGGAGTGGGATTAGGCTCCCAGGCTAAAAAGTATGGATCCACGTCCCGGGTTGTTCCAGTGCTGTTTTATCGCGAACAAAATAGGAGAGATACAACCGGTGAAGGAAAATTGACGTCGAGACGAGGATGCAAAAGAAAAACGGATTTGGTTGACTCATCGTCAAAACGATTGACTCACCTGTGTCTCTTGGATAAGTAGAGAGCATGGTAACAGAGAAGACATCGTTCATGACTGTTTGCCTCAAAATGATCGAGCAAATAGCGTCGACTCTCACTTGTATTAACTGTCTGATTGACACTGGATCCAGGATATGCAGATCCGGAATCGCTGTGTATGGGCAAATCTGTGGTTTGCTCCGTTTCATCTTCATCCAGTTGAGGTGCATACAGTAGACGAAGTCGAGGAAGAAACAGCAACGATTTGAAGTCACCTCGAAATAGATTTGAATCTATCGCTGTGAAACGATTTGTCGAAGCTGACCGAAAAACTTCAATCGGTTTAGTCGTCTCGCCCGGTTTGAGTAGGACAAAGGTGAACTGGCTACGGAAACCGAAACGTAACTTACTCAATTGAACACCGGACCACAATTGAAAGGTGCGTGCAAACAGGTAGACCAAAGTATACACCAGTTGTTGAGGATTGGATTTGCCGAAGAAATTCCGATGCCATAGTAAGTCATCAATCGATGTGAACGTTGTTTCTGCATGCTTTGATACAGCCACAGAAACAACACCGATCGATTGGTTTGACAATTCATTCGATGAGAGTGATTTGGTGACAATCGAATCGAAAATATTGGCTGATTGCATTCGAGTTTTGGTTGATAATAGAGCTGGAGGACGGACAGACTCGTCTTGTATACCAAATCTGACCGGTGACTTTGTTAGCCAATGAAGAGGATGCAACGTTTGGAAACCTGGTCTGCGCAGTGTATTCGGTAAAATGGGGCGCCTCGGGTTCAGGCGCGCATTTTTTGTAAATGAATTTCGTTGAACGGCAGCAGAACCGTTGATAATGTTTGGAGTGCTGATGCCACCGCTGGACGCATGGGTGAAAACTGTGCGCGTTGGTCCGGGTGTCAGTTGGACGAGGACGGATTGTGGACGGGGTGCAGCTACAGCGGACTGGATTCGCGATAAATCAGAACCGGATGTGATGAGGATCGACGAGGAAGAAGTGTTCGCGATGGTCGATGCGTCATTCGAGATGCTGGGGTGCGTGATCAGTGCATGTGATTCCGGATTGACCTGATTTGAATCCATCGGATCAGACTTGATACCGGTCATACGTAATGAGGTCACCGAACTGATAGTCAGAGGTTGGGCCTTGCGTTTGCGTGGTTCGTGTTTGAAAGCGGCCATTTGAGTGGCCCTAACTCCGTTACCCAAGCGACTGGTTGAAACATCCTTGTCAGACGGATTGCTCCGGGCACTTATGTGGGCCGTTGTGGGTGTTGATGCCTGATCGATAGTTGCACTGCTCGTGGTTAATGGAGTACCGGTGGTAGACGAAAGCGTGATCGACACGGTGGTGGTCCGAAGATTTATCTCCGGATAGGAAATTGTCGGTGCAATTGAATATCCGAATTGTGAGCAGGGGAGCACAGTCGGTGTGGATATGTTACGAACTGATCCAAACTGACTCTCGTTAATCGCCGAGAGCAAAGATTTCATATTCTTCGACTCAAAAAGAGTATCCACCTTGGACAAACTGGCCCGGGAAGCTAATGCTTGTTGGGCATAAGCCTGTTCAGAGGGAGCAATCGAATGAATACGCGTGCTATTGATAACCATCATTCCGTTATGGGTCACACGTCCCGGATTATGAGTCAACTGCTTCTCGGATATTGACGCCGATTTCAGAGATAAAGGAAAACGAGCATTGGTGTTTGGGGCGACAAAGAGTTTGTTGCCGGTGCTGCCACTGAACATGTAAGAATCACACGATAGTCGTGGTCTCTTCATAACTGCTTCTGCCAAGGAAATTTCCGTTGGAATCGAAACAGAGTGGGAATTTGGTACGTAGAATGTGCTGGGATATGTGGTCATTGCTCTTGTTGATGCGTGTGGATAGATCGAGTTGTCGTGCATTTCGTTCCTATGTAAATTCCGAATCGGCTCACCACCGTAACCGTAAACACTGTCGCAAATCAGAGCAGTCGGAGATTGCGGACACGCAGAAGTGTGAAATAGATTAGTAGTGGCCGCGTAACGAGGATAAACAGATGGTAATCGATTGAATACCGTTTCGGTTATATTCTCGAGAGATGTGTTCTCCGAATTCGGACGAGATGGCGAATACATTGCCCAATCGAAGCGAATGGGACAAATGAGAATGACGCGTAGACAAACTCAACATGTACCAATAATCTGGGATGAGAAAAGTCCTCCTAAAATCCGTTCTTTACAGGACAAGAGAATTAGGTTATAGAATCAGAACTTTAGCATGCCAATGTCGCGGATCGTCGCAGGAGCCGATCAATCTGGCCGGAATTGCGAGTTTGAATGGCACCACAGATCAATTCGACACACAGCGCTGAACTGAAAAGGGAATCGATCGCTCAACAGTTCAAATAAACTAAACAGACTGACACCTGATTGAGGAGGCAATAATCCCATTTCAAGTGCATGAGCTGGGGGAAAATGACCTGGTTCAAAATAAAAACACCCGTCGAAAACAGGGAACAAAAAAGTGTTAGAAGCAAACAGACATTTCGATTAGGCGATGAAGTAAATCAAAATAATACCTACTTTAATGCGAATTATATTATTCGGTATGGTAAAATAAACGTGAGAATTTTATTAAAGAATTAATAAGAAAAACAGTTGTGGTCATTTGTAAGAAAAATTCGTGATTGTATAAAAATCGCTGCTGCCCTCCAATAAATACATCCCCTCGTATTTAGATAGTGAATGTTTGGATTAGCCCAATCGGGTTTTTTCACGGACACCAGGCACTGTTGATGATCTTGGGTGTGGATTTCACTCCTTGGGAGATCGTTAGTCCCCCCCCCCCCTCACAGGGTAGATTGCGATGGAAACGTTTGCGATGACCGAAAAAGAACACTGGACAGCTGTTGCGTTCTGTTTGGGACTCGTCGGCAGTGCGTACTTTTAGTGTCCCTGTCATCAACAGTACCTGGTTCCTGTGAAAAAACCAAATGGGTTAATCCAAACATTCATTGTCTAAATTGATTGAGCCATTCGCACAAGGTGATGATGATCGGCCGTATAGCACAGAGATAAAGTTTTGAAGTTCAGAAGGTTCGTATTTCGAGTCCTGACAGGGAGACAAAGAGTATGCACTGTTGATGAGTCCCAAACTGGACGAAACAGCTGTCCAGTGCTCTTTGTCGGTCAACACCAAGGTTCCCATCATAACTACATCCACTCGTAGTTATTTTCACGAGACAACAAGCCAGCAGTTCGCCGGAACACAATAAACGCAGTCTGAAGCACTCATCGGACATGGTAGGGATGAGGACAGGAACAATCTCCTGCAGTGGCAACTGAACATCAACTAACACTAACAGTATAAAAAACAGATTGTAAAATGTTTGCTCACCTCCTTGGCCACAATCTTTGCACACAAGAAACGGATCCTCCTTGGTCGATAGGCCGCAACAACGTGAACAAAGCATCATCATCGTCTCGTTCCCATCCGCTTTATCGACCACCATCATTGTCATGGAATCAGTGTCGGACTGAACGGAGTCTGAAGGTGCACTTGTAGCGGGAGAATCGAGCATCCATCGGTCCGAACACGACTTCATACCATCCTCACCGAGTGATCCGGTAGAGGAAACAGTAGGAGCAGTTACTGCTGAAGATGCCTGCGTCAGAACACCGTTTACAACCGGGGTCGAAATAGGACCGGGTGATGCGGATAGGGTGGACGAAGAGGACAGAGATGACGCGGACGAGGATACTGTTAGTCCGGGAGCGAATGTGATCAACGGGGTATTGGACGGAAACTCAGATGTAGGTACCGAATGGAACGAAGTTGGTAGGATGGTGGAAGGAAGAAGTGGGGTCGACCCGAAAGTGTTAGAGGCCAAACTGGGGATAAAATTGACCGGGAGAGGTAGTCCGGTGGATGTGCACATTCCATTTGGTGCCAACGGAATGAGTTGTCCACCCAGACCGACAGAAGTAGAATTTGTGGAGCAGTTTGTGCCAGAAATCGATGACTGAAGTGAGTTGCTTGATTGAGGAGGATCCCCGGATGTGGGCCATGCTTCTGTCTTGATTTTCTATTAGAAACGAGGCATGTGAGTATTTTTTATTTCACGAAAATGCAGTATGAATAAAACAAACGAGGTGGCAAGTTACGAGACCATTCCGGTTAGAGGAACTGTTAGGCAGAAACTTATCAAATGAACTATGAAGTGCCTCGAATGCCTATTGGGAATCAGTGCTGCAGAACCTGAGGTGGAACCACGGATAGCAGTCTGGTCTGAGTGCGAGCAACACAAAATAATAAGTGCAAAATGAGTAGTATCTGAACTCTCAACCAAAATTTCCGTGGTAAGATAAATGATCGGTGTCGCGGCTTTCGCTGCTTGTAAATCGAGCAAGTCCTGTATTTTACTGGTTAGTTATTCCTACGTGTACAGAGGCTCAACAGTTGAAAATAAACTGAGCACTAAAAACTGAGATTCGAACCCTGATACCACTATGACTTTGGTGGTGGACAGCTTCATGGTCTTCCGATTCAGTATTAAGCCTATGCCAGTGAGGCCTTGTGTGGTTCGCCACTCCAAATCAAAGGTTACAGGTTATCAGAACAGGGAATAGTGTAAACTGTACAAAGCTCAAACCCGCCCTGCTCTTAAATACAGTTACCACGTGTGGGATGGAGCTTCGTCTTCTTCTCCTTCCCGCCTTGATCGTGTTCAACGAAAGACCATCCGGCTAATCGATGATCCTTCCCTGAAATCCAGTCTGCAGTCACTAGCCCATCATCGGGCAGTTGCCTCATTGCCCTGCCCCTGCTCTATCGTTACTACTTTGTTTTTGTCCTTCGAAACTTGCATCGGCAGTTCCTCCTGCAACTTTTACCCGCTCATCCCGTACACAGGCATCTGGTTATCCTTATCTAATTTCAGTTCCCAAGTGCCGTACTTCTCTGCTTTGATCTTTTTTCCTCCCGAACTGCCAAGTTGTGGAACACCCTGCCACTTTCTGTCTCCCCCCCCCAACTTACAACCATACGATCTTTAAACGCAGATTCAATAGACGTGAATGTTCCCTACTCTCCCTTTTACAGTATGCCATCTGTCTATGGAGATTTCCCCTTTTACCGTAATTCACATTGTGTAAAAAAAAATAGAAGCTGTATGTCCATGTAACGGAATATTCCTCTTTTGTTGTTTACCACAGAAATTCAAATAAAAACCAGGGAATTTAACAGAGCCCCTGATGAGAAATCCTTAACAAGCAAATGAAAACATCCCCGTGGCTATCATCGCGGATCATATCACTGCAACTTTGCAGCCAGTTGATACAACTGGAAGAAATGTTGCTAATTCTTTTTCACAAATCAACCTGGGAGCGTTTATTCAGTTGTACTTGGGATGTGAGTCAGATGGCTAGAATATGAATTTTTTTAAGCATTCAGTATATCTGAAAGGATGTGTATCCGCGCAACCGCAGTCCACATACGTTACCTCGATTAGGTAACAGTATCTGCTGTTTTACCGGAGTTGTCTCCGTTGGAGAGAACCATAAAGACCTGCTAAACTCACATTTTGACACTAAAACTGACCGGATGACCCCACGCCACAGACTTCCATCCTATCAGTGTCTCACTGAGTTCCTCAAGAACAAGTCTCAGTGTCCAGCGACCGTGATGTCGACTCACGAGTGATAGGTAAAAATCTCAAGGTTAATTATTTTGTCTGATGAGCAGTTGAAGAATCTTCTCCGTAGTCGTTAGAGTTTCACAAACTTTCCAGTGTGGTAGCGCACGATCTACAAGTGATTTCACTTCACTTATTCTTCACCCCTACATAGTCAATAAATGCAGAAAAATCAGCTTTCTTATTGCGAGAACATTGTTTCTGGGGTATTTTTGATTACTGTTGAAAATCTATAATCAATCGTTTTTCTAAATTCTTTTTCCTCACCCTAATATTTTTAGGCTTGCGAATCTGTCTGAACAGAATTATTTGACCGGAATTCTGCCTGTTTCTGGAACTCGGCTGCGTCCTCGAACGATGCATTGACCTTTAAGAAAGTGGAGTCAAGAGAAACGGTCGACAAGTGCACTGACCACTGAACCAAACGAGACTAATCAACCTATTGGCTGGCACACGAACGGCTACATCAACGTCAACGACGTTTGGAATACGACACCCAATCACGTGACAGCTAATGTGGACTGTTGCTGACAGGTCGGAAAAACACGAGGCAAGCGCTGTTAGGGTGTGCGAAGTAAGGTAGGCCATAGTTCAGTAAATGGAAAGGATAATTTTTGTGGATGTTAGCAAAACATCGATCGTACCACGCTATTGCAATCACCATCTGATGAACTTGGTGCAATAACTCGCTGGAATACACGACCAAAAACGTAGCTTAATTCTATTTTATGAATCGATTCCTAGAACTGAAAACTTTCGCTTTGAGAAAATGATTCTTTGATAAATTTACTAAAAACTGAGTCATTTCCATTTTCATCATAACAGGCAAGGCGTATTTTTAGGTCCTTCTATAACTGTACGTGTGGGGTAATATTCATAAATTCAATGATCGAAAATGGTCTCATCAGCGCATTCATGACACACGATAGAAGTGCTATTCTTGTTAGCCATATTTCTGTCCGAGATTGGTTGGGTCAAAGAAGTGATATCACTAGGCAATCTTCTATTAAATGAGATGACACAATTACGTAAGTGTACAGTTCCTCAAACTGTACGCCGGTGAACGTTCACTCGTCTACCTGGTTCAGACAAGATGCGATGAACGGGACAATATGTTCACAAAATTGGAGCACCAATTCTGACTTTGTCAAACTAAAAATTGTAACCATGTTTTTACCTGTAAATAATTTACAATAAAACATGCACAAAGATCAACCGGCTGCACAGATGCAGGTGAAATAAACTAACAGAAATCACTGACATGAGCGAAGAGTGTAGCATTTTTTCCGATCACCCGAGAAAAATACCTGGTAAATATTGATTTAAAGTCATAACAAATAAGTTGGCCGTGTGTGGTTGCAAGTTCGCTCCTGCATCGTTCCAACACAGCTTGTATTGTCCTCATTTCTCGTCCTAGCGGTTTGTTAACCACCTGTCGTATCACACTGTTACGGTGCTATCGTGTGGACTCCCAACCCGCATACTAAAGTTCATGTAACTTGGCGAAACAAATTACATCAGGGAATGGTCATAACAACGGTTCTATTCTATAGTGCACAACCAAACGGTCTAGTTTACAAGCAAAAAAAACACGTTAGATAAAGGAGACAAATTGTGGGTAAAGTAAATGACAACAGCCGGATGGATGATGCTGCCATCAACCATATAAACGGAGATGTTGAACAGCGTTAGCAGAATCAGGACATGGATTGGCATGACAGTAGCTTAGGTCGCCAGTCAACTGCCGCCTTCGTTACTATGCCAGACTACTAACATTAGTTACTTGATGTAGTATTTTTATATATTTAACTCGATTCAAAGTTTACCAGGGAGATTTATTGACCCGATAGAGACCTTAACTGTTAATGGCAATCGATCACGAGGTCATTTTGTTTGTTTTTGTGGAGGTTACTCCATTACTGTCTATTAGACTTGCTATGTAACAAAAAATCAGTCGATGTAATTTCGAAGTATTGCGGGTTTCAGAGAATTGGTCTGTAAGTCTCCAATCTAACACCGGTAGTCGTTTGTGCAAAAGTTGTGAACGAACCCCAGTATCCCTCGCCGTATCTGACTCTTTTTCCCATACTACCTCGAAACAATTCTCAATTTCCCTACTTCTGATATTCAGGCAATCAATTCGGGTATTGGCAGCTAAGTTATTTGATATAATAGATGAATACTAGCCAGCTTGTTACGCTCGCTCTCTCAATCGCTGGCAAGGGAAAAATATCAACAGTGGTGTGTTGTCCGCGAACGGATCTAGACGAACGAGTAAGAATGATAGAACTGGATTTGCACCCTACACCAGAGCGCGTAAACCCAGTTTTATTTGCCGTATGAGCTCACATGGTTACCCTCGTGCTTGGGATGTGTGGAGAAATACATGGATCACATATTCCTCATTCCGGTCCTAGCAATGATAGCGTCCGATTAGCTAAGGAAAAATGTCACAGGACCGGCTGGATGCGGAAACGCGCATGTGTGCGTGGGCCTGTGTAATCATTCCCGCCAGAACATTTCCCGCTCACAAATGCTATATCCTCAACTGTATCGTCCATTCATCTATTCATTCAATCTATCTGGTTTCCTCCATCCGCCGGGACGCAGCAACGCATCCCTTCCACTCAGCCTTGTTTACCACAAATTCGCGCACACACGCAAACACTCTAAAACTCTTGTTCCCTTGTTACCCCCTCCCTCGCTTTGGTTGAATGCTAATCTGGTGTGCTGAGTTGTTGTCCATCGGTCCTTGTGGAACGTCCGTTCTGACGGCGATTCAGGCGGCAGACCAGATCGTTTCTCTCACCACCACCACCACCACCACCCAGATCAGCGCTACGCCTAGCGCGATAACCGGCACGACCAAGCACGGACGGGCGTGCGTAGTAGCGACTGTGTCGGTGCATGAAATCGACGTGATCGGGACATAGAAACGCACGCACGCACGCACACTCACTCGCATTCGCATCCGCGCCCGGGGCATAGACAAAGATCGATCAATTGCGGTCGTAACGGTCCGATGATGACTCATTGCTAGGTTTGCTGGCCCGAGAACCAGCGAATGCTTGGGAAGGCAAACAGACGGGCAGCAAGCAGACTCGCCATTGCACGCACAAGAAGAGAGCAGCCAGAATGGGAATTATTAGACAAAACGACAAGCCCAACTGCTCCCGATAAACGGGTCAGCGCATTCCATGAACAACACGGGATCATTAACACTGGTGAGTGCATAAGCGTGCATACCCGCTTGTGTGTGTCTGTCATTTCCATACACACCAGGCCCAGAATCCGACAGTAAAGGGGGTTTGTGAGGGAAATGCCGGAAAAGCACAGGGGTGACCAACGAAAGTCAAACCAGCGTGTGGGCAAGACAAACGTTGAATGTGCGTGCGCGCCACGGACGAGAAGTCGGGCGTTGGACCAATGCAGAAGTACGGATGAACCAGCTAAACGTATTCCGTTCAGCTGTAAGCCAGTACTACCAAATAACCAAGCAATTGCATCATAATAAACCCCACCAAGTAGCGCGAGGTTTCAGTCGACCATGAGCTTTGCTGATCCCCTAGCATGAAGTCGACCATATGTTTAGGATAGGCGATTTTCAGTTCTGTATGGCAGTCTCCCATTTTCTCTTTCTGTTGCTCTTATCGTTTGCTTTCCGTTGATAAATCCCGTTCCTAACAGATGCTTCCACATGTTACTTTATTTTACCGATGAGTAAGTGTAAGGAGAAAACTGAGGTAGCAGGGGGCACAAAGATGTAGGTGGGGAAATCCGGTTGCCGATCGAAACAGGCTATCTCCAGGTTCACGTGATACCGATCTATACCTTTCGATTACAGGCACCATCACCCTCCTCTTGAAGAAATGGATTGCTAGAGCTTACGGGCCACTAGTGTAGGCGAAGAACATGCACATTGCGCAGTGTCGGCCCTGGCTAACCACCCGGCCTGGGGTTTTGTATGTTCCGTTTCGTACAAATGTGTGTTTAACGAAAACTTGTTTATCATGTGTTTTTAACACATGAAGGTCGGATTGAGAACTCAGTTTGTTGAGAAATTCCATGATTTCATTACCGAAAGACTTTACAAGACAACTCCTATTCCTACCCGTCTCTTCCAGACAAACAGCTGCTAACGAAGCTATGCGGATCCTAATGAAGAGAAATCCTCTACGAGGGACTAGAATATCAACTGTCAAAGCGCATCAGAGCCTGATAGCGCAAGAAACCGAACTTTCGTTGGCGCTAGTGGCTAGTCACATGACTTCACCTAAAATAATATTTGTGGTTAATGGCGAATAATCAGAGTCAATCAGCGCTTCGTGAAACCATTCATAGCGAAATCGGGCTATTTGTATGGTCTCAATCGGCGCACCACGGAAAAAGTGAAAATTAAAACGACCAGGAAAGAATGAATAGGAAACGATAACTCCTGACATTTGTCGTCATTGCACTGCTTCGGAGCCCCCCACGCAATATTTAAAGATAAGCAAGCACTTCAAACAGTGCATTTAGGATTACAACAAAGTGAAACACGTGAGAACGGAAGAGAAGGTAACCGAAGTTGGACCCATATTACAGAATGCATACGTATGTGGAATCGACTCGAGCTAGCAGCGAACTTAGCGATGATAGCCTCTCGTATCTCTCGGACAGAAAGTAGTATGTATTCTTGAAAATCCGCGATCTAATAACTATAAATGACAATCGTACTAGGGGATAAAATCGAAAATTTGTAATCATGAAAAGTATATCGATCAAATCACTAGCAGACCTCAAGTGGATTAGCTGAGAAAAATCTATGCTGCTCTCAAGTCAACTATGAATGCACAAATTGTGCGGAATGAACTCAAATAATTATGGTGAAACCAATACAATCACTCAACCAGTACGGCTCCATTTTGCTTTCAAACACGTACAAGTGATATAGATAACCAATTATCAACAGTCAGACAGACTATCGACACCGAATCACTACACACATGCACATACAGTAGCGTGTGAACTATCAGGGCACGAAATGCATGCTAATGCGAACAGAAGCGGCGCACACACGCTGTCATGGGTAGAGTAAGAACAGCTGAAGCTAACAGATGCGTGCAAGGTGAAAATATATGCGTGTATCACACTACTCATAAGTAGACAGTCGCTGAATGTGAAAACGTACTTTATCGGCTGGTGCTTGGGAATCCGATTGAACTGTGTGTCGACGGGATTTCGGACCAGGTGGGCGACCACGACGACCAGGACCAATTGGTCGCGATAACAAAGGTTGAAGTGGAGCCACCCCGAGGGTTCTTATTCCGGTCGAAGATAAAGAATTTGCACCACTAGCGGGTGTTTGTTTCACAGCCAAT